ACCACAACGCGTTCCACAAGATGTTCCGTTAGACAGATTTTTACAAGACCAGATGGAAACACAGAATTATAAGCCTCCCGTGGCGAAAACTATTCTTACTTTATACTCCCTTCCTAACCGCAAGGCTTTTATGTAATCAACTAATGCCTTTAAGACTGCCAAATCAGTCTTCTTCACCCAGACCGCTGTGGTCGATGGTCAAGACTCACATCGAGTGCTGTAATTTCTCAAAATGGCATCATTTCAGTCCACTTCAAAATTTCTTTCGTCTTAGAACGATTCAAAGCCGGTTTTCTTCCTAAATGCCGCCTCCCGCGATAAAGAGGAGAGATGAAAATAACCTTCCCACCTCCTTTTGTTCTGATAACAAACGGCTGTGTTTTTAACCGTACCACTCCGTGGGCTGCGCTTTCCAAGCTACCGAAAAGCCAGTTCTTTTGGTTCTCTTGGTCCCCACAACAGTCATTTCTCGTTACTTTTGTGTGTTTTATTGTCTCGACTTTTTGAGAGAGAGCAAAACGGCTAGCAGTCCTAAAATAGCACTCATTTTAGGCCATTCCAGCTAACCTATGTAGTACTACATCCTAAGCCAACACTTCCAATCCCCCGATCAACCTATAAACCTAACTACCACTTCCTCGTCTGTGTGACTGCACGGAAAAATAACAACGTAAAGCACATTATCGCAATTGCCACCTGCCCGGAAGCGGGACGAGTTGATCGGTAAATTTCAGCCTTTCCGTCTGAGCCAAAATACTCAACCTGTTCTTTTGTGTGTGTGTTTGTGTTTAATATATAGTCATGGTCGAGAACCTACAGTGAGTTGCACGTCAGATCAATCAACCCTTTGTGTAGCCCCAGTTTTCGAACGGATCTGATGACCACGATCTCGGTGAGTGGAATTATTTACTCCGGATACAGTGCGTCTGTTCAAACCGATCAAACACCTGCACTTGATCCGGTAATCAATGTGAGCTTAATTCAAGCAATAATTACCTAACCGTGGCATCAAAATCAGAATGGAATGGAATGTGTTTCACAGTTGGATCTGGTACTCGCTCCAATTGGTGACAGAGACAATTCGTGAACGTACATCTGTGTCGTAAACAAACGAACTCAAGCATCGTTTATTGTCAGTTGTCGAGG